GAGGAATCCTCTCCCTGTGGAGGAATGAGTGGCAAAAACAATGGGTGATGAATTGACCATAACCCCCATCCTCTGCCCAGCTACGCCGTTGAAGGGGAGGAGGTAGAGAAATCGAGAGCAAAGCTGAGCCTGGGAAGAAGGGAGGGGTGGGGGTAAGATGTTTTTAAGACTTGGTTGTATTTCTCAATGTCCTACTCTGTTTGATTGATAAATTGAGTGGTGGTGGTGTTCAAGTTAAATTGATGTTCTTTTTCTTCCCCAATCAAGTCTGCTTTTTGCCTGTGACCATAATGGGTGAGTCATCCCTCCCTGTCCTTATCTCAATGCCCAAGCCTTTTGCTTTATTTTCTCCTCTCCATCACTGAGGGGGAAGGAATGAGTGAGCATCTGCACAGTTTCCCTCTGGGCTTAAACCATGACAGCCTATCACATTCTTTTCCACCACACACAAAAGCATTTATATATATTGACATGAACCAGACTGGAATCTTCTCTTACAGTGTTTTGTTTAGGTTGGGAAAGAAGAACACATTGGCCTGTGGACTATTCTTGTGGAGGTGATTTTTATGATGTCTTTCCACTGAGATGCCACAAGGTACGGGGCTCTGTTGTGGTGGAAAAGCACATGCAGGACCTGAGGACATCATACAGGAATTCTCAAATTTTTGGAGTAAGTCCCTGGCCTTGAACTGCTGCATCTTCATACTAGCTGCCTTCATCCTGTCCTTACAGGACAGCCATTGTGCCCCTATTCTGTTGGAAAGCTTGCTGCTAGTTGAACTGTCAACCCTTTCCTGGACTGCTGACATCCTCTTTGCCGCCCATTGCTAGCTTTAGCATCCCAAACCCATGTTAAACTTGGCAGAGGTTATTAAACCAACCATTACCATCCTGACACCCGTGCCTCACCACTTCTGGGAACAGATCGTCTAGAGCTTCCAAGCACCTTAAGTCAGTCCTAAACGTAAACAGTTTTGTGCTAATGGTCATTACTTCAACAAAGCCAGATAATTTTGCTTCACACTGTCAATTGTGTTCCATAACACTCAAAACCTAGGATTCTGAAGGAAAAGGGGAAGTTGCTGTGTTGGTTGCTTATTAGAATGTATTTTAAGAGATACAGATGTTAGATTTCCAGAGCTGAAACATACCTATACAAAGCTGCTGTATGTTTTTCTTTTCTTTTTAGCATACATATAAACATAATAAATTTGAGATGCAATCCCAAGCTCAATAAAAATTACAGGTTATTCCTACCATGTATAAATATGTGTTACTAATTCGAAGATGCATTTATTTAGCGTTGTTCTTTAAAAGTTTTTGCAAAGCCTTTGCCAGCTTTAACTTTACAGACCCACAGGATAAATCTTTATTAAATAAAAGGCAATGTTGGATTCTGACTATATGATAGTGGTAGTGGTCTCATGAAATCCAAAGCTATCTATGTCTGTACAGTAGGGTGTCCTCCAAAATACCACCCTATGTAGAACTGGCTTGGCTAATATTTGGAATGACGTACACAGGTTTTACAATATGAATTTAAAAAAACCCAAAACTAAGTGTGCTAAAAGCCCGTTATGTGCATTAACACCCATATCTTGTGGGAAGCAGGGCGAGTTACACATGCTCAGAGTGCCACAGATCGTCTTTGCTCTCAGGTCATAGAAGAGGCTGTGTTAAAATGCTTGTACAATGGGCCTCCTGGGCACCTGAGCTCTGCAGTCAACCAACAGGTAACACCCAGATGCTCCAGCCAAGGTTATCAACAGGTTAAGTGAAGCAGGATTTACTGAATTCTCAATAGCATTGTCTGTAATTTTGGGGCACAAGGCAAATTTCAAAATTTCAGGGAGTGTTAAATGTGTAAGTGGAGAGAAACCTTGCAATTTTAAGTGTTCTTTGAAAACCCTGACTGCTACTACCATACAGAAAAGAAAAAAATCAAGTTCCTAGATGTCCCATTTAGGTCACTGACAGGACAGTCTCTTTGGTGCCCTCAAATGCACCTTTGGTGCTTAAGCTGCATCTCATTTTCATTTAATCCCTATTGTTATGTTGCTCTACTGTATAACCCCAGTTGTTCTTCACAGCCAGTTGCTAAAAACACAACTCTACTCTAAAAACCTCAAACTTTGAGTAATAACACTCTACATTGTCACAGTAGCCATATAAAATGCAACACAGAACATAAAGCTAAGACAGGCAGAAAATAACATCCCAAAGGTAAATTTGGGCTTTTCCTTCTCACACGTTAATAGTGACAAGGCCAAACTTGCCTTCAGCTATGAATCTTTGTCTTCATTTGGTGTTTGACATTTAAAGAGTTAAAAATCAAATATGTCACTCTGGCAGTAGCATGATAAATAGAGCTGGTTAAGTGCCTCTCCAGGCTGTTTCTTACAGCCGATTTACTATTTATGAAAAGAAGACTATGTTGCTATAATGAGTGCTTATAAGGCTTTCTTACCACCAAAGTTCTACTCCTAAGCATAGAACTTAAATCTTCATACTTTTGTGTTCAAAATTTTATCTGCAAAGTATGTAGTTTTATTATTGAAGTATGTAAAAACTTCCAGCTTCTATTCTTAGCTTACTAAGATAAATAGATCCAAAGGGACCTCCATGATATGGAGCCAAAAAATACAAGAGGAAAAAAAATAACACTTAACTGCCAATATTTTTATTATGGCAGTGACAGAATGAAATCTCTCTAATACCTGTTTTCAAGCTCCAGCATGTTGACATATCTTTCAATTAAGATGAAAAGCGTTATATTCAGGAACATAAATTATTTCCTAGCTCATTACAAGAACTGTTTAAAACTCCTCATCATCTCCTGATCTATTGTGTAGTCACACAGCAGTATGTGTCCCCTCTATATCATCTGCACATCACACTTGACCTTCTTAGGATATGATCCTTTCTAATTATTGCATGGACATAGATTAAACTTCAGCTATGCCACAGCAGAAACACCTAGATGCATCAGGTTCCAGGGAAGAGAGCCAGAAAGGATCAAGCAGGCAAGGGAAGATTTGCAGTAAGAGCGCTAGCTAAAGACACCAAGCCAGCATGTTTGAGAAGAGGCATGGGAAAAGCATCCCAGAATACAATGGACTATTGAGATGTTTGGTTTGATACAAATTTCCTTTGAAAATTTGTCTTGATGGAACTAAGTCCCGAGGTAGTGACTGCTCATCCTTTTAAATAAAGGTTATACAATAATAAAGTTTAATAAACAAAACTGCACAGAACAAGACTTAAAGTGAAGACAGCCATCAGTGCAAGGAATCACACTAAGGAGGAATAGAGCTGTTACATGAGGTGGCAAGCAAGGGGCAGGGGAAGTTGTACAACAAGCTTTTCAGAAAGAGTTCTGTTATAAAGATCAGCTACATCTTCTAGAATAGATGCTAGTGAGTGGATGAGTACAGACGCACTCAAGACAAATAAAACTCAGGTATAATTAAGCCATCCTTATAGATAATAATTAAATAAGACCTCATCCCACCCTCCAGATGGCATTCTCACAGCATGTCCTGCTACAGATCAAAGAACACTTAAATGGAAAAATGGAAATACCTTCTCCTACTGAGGCATCCTGGTTTTCCTCGGTTTAAACTGCAAATCTGGCAAGAGTACAGCCCCATTGGTATGAGCTGAAATACATACATATTTTTGTACATCCTGAGGATACCCGAAAAAAGCTGTACAGGCTTCCAGAACATGGACCTAAAGTTTGCATTTCACTTCAGACAATATATGAAGTATGTATCTCATACCAGTGTCTTATTTTTGCAGTACTCAAAGGATCACAACACACTTTATTTTCTCAGCACATTAGCTCACCTGTGTGAATTCAAAACTTTTCATGCCATGTCTCAAAACATAATTAAGGCCACAGTTTATGTTAACAAAAAGTACATTCACACTAAGTTCTGAAGTTGTGTATTTGTTGAAACAAGACCCATCGCGTTGCACCTATAAGCACATCAAGAATATTACGCAAGGCAGTAAGCACTTTGCTGCTGTATAGGTCTTAAATTTTTCTTGAAATAATGTCAAAGTTAAAAGAGAAGTATGGAAACATTTTCCCCTCTTTGCTTTCCCTAAAGGAGATTCAACACGAACAGAAGTAGTAGACAACTCAAGTGAACAACACTAATTTTTATTTGTAAGTGTCATAATACAGCCACCATAAAACTTAAGAGCTGAACGGAAGAGTTGCATAGATTTTTTTTTTTTTTTTTTTTTTTAAGCCAAAGACTCTCCATTCACTGTTTGGCATAAAGGTAGCTAACAAGTTTCACTGTAGATCTGTAATTCTTAAGAGAAAGAAAGAGAACCACACATTTGGTTTATCTAGTAAGCAAAGCTAATAAACAGCTGTGAATTTTTTCACTCAAATACTGGAAGTCTTTTGGAAAAGTCTTTTTTGCGCTTTGGTCAGGAAACTACAAATCAAAAGCCTAAGTATGACCCTTTTGCAGAATTACATTCTTGGAAATGCATACAGTATTGTGTGCCACATCCCTCTGACAGAAGGCACAATTTATGAAAAGAACATTTATGGAAACAACAAAAGTCAGTTCTGAAAGGGTAAGAGTGACACCCACTAATGTTCCCGAACTGGTTGTGGTTTTTGTCTGTTTTGTTGTGTCTTTTTTTTTTTTTTTTTTTTTTTTTTTGGTTTTTTTTTTGTTTTTTTTTTTTTCTTCAATTTGGGAAAGGCCTCCTCTTATATTTTCTTCCTCCCTCCCCCCCCCACCTGCAAAGTAACTTCAGTGTTTATAAAATGAAATTTTCCAGGCATGAACAGTTGTAAGAAAGAGATACATGAGTCAACGGTTTTCTACTGGTGCAGTTACTTTACCAACTAGATGTGAGAGTACTCACTATCCCTCAAGAGCACGTGTCAACAACAAGCAAGTGATTATAGGCAACGGTTTGTTTTTGGTTTTTTGGTTGTGTGGTTTTTTTTTGTTTTTTTTTTTTTTTTAAGGCTTCATTCTCCCTGAATACTCTAGGTCTAGTGAACAAAAGTGTATGTGGCAGTAAAGCTGATCATTTTGTCTAAAGTGCTTGATGAAAGCAGGGAAACTATAAAACCGATAAATTAGTAAAACCAAAAGTGGAAGAGTTACATTTATCATACAAAACAAGAAGAATTAGAGCATTTTCACATTTTCTTCTTCTATTAGACAAGATACATCAAAAAGATCCTTCATGATGAAGAGATCCCTTAAAGTGTATATAGTTCATAACACATTTTTTCTTGCATTTCTGGATACAAAGTCATTTAACATAAGACTCAGGAACAATATCCCAAAAAAGACAGTATTATTAGGGCTAAGAATGAAGATTACATAGCAAGTTTTAGTCATTAAAAAAAAAAAAATTTGGAAAAATGCCATTTAGTACTTTCAATAACTTTAAATGCCCTGATACTATTTATTTTACAGTAGAAATGCAAGAGCCTTTGGAACGCAGCAATGCTTGGTTCTGTGCATGTCTTCTCTTAAGACATCATTTTTTTCTTACATTCCACTGAGCAAAAGACCATCCCTTCCACCGGCATGAACTTCTGACCAATCAGACACTTGCTGCAACAGGAACAGAGGAAGCATTCCTGCGTAGCATGCCAGTTGAAGCTATTGTATGTCACACGCTGAACTTCTGGGTCTATAGCATTATGACAGCCTTGGCAGATCTGTTTAGAAACAAAATGACATTTAAACAAAGCATACACATTCCCTCTGCAAGTCCAATAAAAGCTGGAATTCTTAAATGTTTTTGAAGAGGGACAGATGTTAAAAGAAGCCTTTGAAATAAGCCTCCAGCTTTTGATTTGCCTTTATTTGTAGAGTTTCCAATCAGAATGCAGCTAAGGAGACAAAACAAAATAATGAAATGCACGTAGGAAGTTAGTTGTTGCTGGGACTAAATTGAGACAGTTATGATGGTTAGGATTTCCCAATGCCCAAATAATGATAAAAACTTGTGCCAAACAGCACAAATATTCATATATTAACCCATACATTTAAAGAGATTTGTTACAAATCTTCCTGTGCATTGGCAGCTGTAAAGCAATGCCAAAGAATTAAAGGTTTCTAGAAAGTCCTGAATGTAACATCTTGAAATCTGGTTGTCAAAATTTATCATTTGGATCTCAGGGGAGTTAGCACTTTAAGAGGGGAAAAAGCACCTCTCCAAAAGATAATTCCTCACACCTACCTCAGAAGATTATTAACTGCCAGGTAGAGATAATAGTTTTTCCCTCCATTAACTATATAAACAGTCTAGATGCACATTAGACTGGACTCTCAACTACAGCCAGTTAACTGGTAGATATGAATGGACCAACATCTCAGATCAGAGTTCCTAAGAATCAAGAACTACCATCGTTCCCCAAACTTCTCTCTTTATCCTGTCAGTCACTCTCCTTTTTAACTTATGTGGTTAGAAATACAAAGAAACAAAGTACTTAGACTGCAGTTGCCACTAGAGGCTTTTAGCAGAACAGCTGAAGTTGAATCCCACTGACCACAATGAACTATGATTGTCACAAACTAAACGTTTAGCAGCATTGCTCATCTTCACCTACTTTACTCCCATTACAAAATCCTGCTTCACCACTGGCAAAGTTAAAGGTATTTTCAGAAGAGCTCCCCCCCCCCCATCCAGCAGCTTTTATTCAGTTTTATGAATTGACAAAATACTTGTCTGCTTCTAAGTTTTCTTTTTTCTATTTTTGGTTTTGGTTCCCCACCCCAACCGAAAAAATGGAAAAAGATGATTGACTTGAGCTTACACTTGCATTCAATTTCTACTCAGATAGTCCCACACTGGGAGAAAACTATGAGTTTCAAGCTCCATAGGTGTACCTTTCCCCTTTCCTTCCTTCACAGCACCAACACATCTGTAAGGATCTTACCGCAGCATGGTTCTTCACATAGCAGGGTTTGCAGACTGGCTTGTCATTCACCATTACATAGATTTCTCCAGCCAACACACAATCACAGTCAAAACAGCAGAAGTGTTTCAGGTGCCAGCTTTGACCTTCTGCTTGAGTATATTCATTGCTGAATATTAGCTATTAGGAAGATACAAGCCAAAATTAATATAGGCATTTGAATAGTATTTATTTTAATAAAGCTAGCTACAGGATGTTTTATAATTTCCAAAGAACTTCTGGTGATTCTACTGTTTCAAATTATTTCAACAACAAAATGAATGCATTCACTTGTTTGTTTCCCCAAAGCCCCCATTTCGTTTAAGAGATAATAGATGCCAAAGACACCAGGCAGGCCGTTCTCTGTACGCTGCACAGCGTGTAATTTAGTAAGGCACTCCCCCTAGTGCCCTTCATTGGGAAACAACTGCATAACTGGGATTTCATACAAGAGTTTTATTCATGCACTACATCCTGTGTCCCTGTAGACTGCATAAAATCTCTGCCAAATCCAAAGTCAACTATGGATCTTCCTGAATGTGGTGTGTCCATATCCGTTTCAGTTCCTTGCAACTACGACCAGTTAAAATTGGTGAAGACACACCACCTCCCTGCACTTATATGATTACTAAAAATCATACTTCTCAGGGGAGCAAACTTGTATGCTGAAACAAAGGACTAGGATATTGCCTACCTCATCACATCCAGCACAGCGGGGTTTTTCACTATCACAATAGTGTCTTCCACAGTACAGGTTACCATTCTTCCAGAAATAGATCATGTCTACTAGAAGTTCACTGCAGGTGCAACAGACAAAACAAGCTGGATGCCACAATTTGTCATACCCAGCACGTTCTGCATAGACAGCTGGGTCACCTTCTTTCATGTTCAGTTTGCAGCGGTAGCAAGACTGGAAAGAGGTTATTGAAGAGATACATTTATAGCAATTATGTATTACCAAAATATTTAATAAATCCCACCTTCCCAGACTGAAATTAAAGCATTAGTTTACTCCAACAATCAGACAGTAGTGTGACATGATGCCACAGTACACGTTTAACTAAGTAATTCAAGATGATATACATTTTACTAACCTAGCACTAGCACTACTTAAATGGATTACTGTATTTTGCCAGTCACATTCTTCCAATTACAGTCCAGTTCTTAGAAAAAAAAAACCAAACACCAAAACAACAGGCAATTAATGTTATTTTCTAAGTGCCATACATACTCAAGAATAAGGAGAGAATAATAAGAATCTTCCAAAGCTAACCAACTAGACTATGACTAGAATACACAAGAAAATGGCTATACTTAGGAGTCATAAAAAGTCTCAAATCCGCATCACTACTAAGAAAAAAAAAAAATTGTATTTCAAACTCAATTCTTTTTAAAGCTGTGTTCTGGGAATGGTAGTCACTTCTGGCTGTTGTCCAACAGTCTGTGATTAACAATCTTGGGATGGGGAAAAGTGATTATTGAAAAGGGACTACAAAGTTTATGAACACAGCTACACTACAAATAGTTCCAAAAAGTTAATAGTCAGACTTCTGTGCTATACCTGCTTACAGAGGGTTTTGTCATCAAGTTAACACACACAGGTGGTTTATGTTACCGAAATAAAAATTATCTACAGTTTAATCACCAGTTTGGCACTTCCTGCCCTCCAGTTGGTCTGTGGACTGGGCTGAACATCCCAGGAAGGTTTTCTCTGTGATTCACATTACTACAAACCCAGCCACAAATGGCTTTTTTACTTGTGTGTGCATATATATTTATATTAAAAAACACAAAAAACAAACATGTAAAGAGTCTCAGCTGTAAGGCATATTGATCAGATCCGCACACTTGTTTCAGACAAGCAATTTTAAAATATACATAAGAAGACATCAAAAGGGGAAGAACAACAACTTGGAACAGAATAAAAGAAGAACTAATGGAAGAGGAAGTGTAAATATATATGTATATAAAGCTTTTTGACTCTTCTTTCTACTTTAGATCTCATACTCCAGGAGTCAATTGGAAGGTTTAGTAGTTGTATGGACCCAGATGAAAGCAAGACAATTCATGTACCTACCATTTGCAACGCCCCCAGCCCAGGTGGTTAATAGGTACATAAAGAGATTTACTTCTCCACAAGATGAAAATATGCAAATCTGATTTTCAGCTTTCAATCATGGTGAAATAGGGTTTTTTTGTTTGTTTGTTTGGTTTTGTTTTTGTTTGTTAAACAAAGGCACATATTATACGTATATTTACATTAACAGTGGAGACATTGTTTCTCATTGTTTGTGTTTTGTTGTTTGTTTTTTTTAAATCAGGTGTAAAAGAATTGCAATACATTCCTATAATGAAAATTATTTTTTCAAGAGATTCTATTTACCACAGCTACAGGAATACATGCTTTCAGACTCAGTCTGAAAGACAGTGTACAAGAATATTTGGAGAGCAAAGATGTAGAACTAATAGAAAAAAAGTGTAGATGAGGATGGCAATTCTTTTGCAAGGTATTTAAGAGTTCTCCTCTGTATTGGTTTATTTTGAACTGTTAAAAAAAAAATGTTGAGATAGTCTCAGCTACATGGTGTAGTATTAAGTCACATTGCAGAAATTGGACAAAAATCATATTTAAAAATAATATGCATCTAAATCGTGACTAACTATTCCAGGGTAAATGGCTAACAATAGATAAGCAACTCAAACATTTGCTTACACTATGAAACATTTCCAAGCCTCCTTCTAAATCACTGCCAACAGTGATGAGATATGCCTGGCCTGAACAGTAGGTGGTACACTCAGGTGTTTGAGTAAGAAAAATTTAGAAGTGATAAATAAATGTAGTGTAAAAATGAAGCATCTTTTGATACAATTACTCAAGAGGACAGAGTACATCACGCCAAGGGCAGGAGGCAGTCCAAGCCAGTTGGCCAGCAGGGTACAATGCAAGGTCTGTATTTCTGTAGGTCTTTGAGGAGATAAGCAAAGAATTGCTGTGGTGAAACTAAAGTAACACAGCAGGAGAGGCTGAGTTAAGACAAAATGACAGCAACCTAATCAAGCCACGATAAAATAACTTTTTAGTATCTCAGGATCGCCGTGACAAGATAATGGCAAAAATAACTGAATAATTAATTTTAGAAAGTAGATACAGGTAACCAAATGGCACAGCATATGGCCAGTTAAAGGAAGTGTCCATGTTAGAAGCTAAACCTTGTTAATTTTATATTCCATATGCATTACACTGTAAGTAATATACTGTGTCAGTTTAAAACATGACCAACAACAAAAACGCACCAAAAAAGCACACCACCCTCCACAATAACACTGAAAGCCATATTCTACAACCATGTTAACTTTTATCTCCATATAGAACTTTTATAGTCATTTTCTGTAAGTAACTTGGAGACAAATAATTTTTGTGATTCATACTTAATAGCAACATTTCTGGAAATCGAGTTACAGGAGCTTTGGCCATTCTGAAGTGAAGGTCTATCTTCCTGTTTGTATTCAGAATTGGTAGCAGACACATGCACATCAGAGGTCAGCAAGTTACATCAGAAATACTTTATTAAGCCTATAGTTTTATAAATATAAATGAAAACTGGGTAATTTTACATACCTTATTTCTTGTTGAGCTATTATAAGGCAGAAATCAGATGCCAAATTAAAAAAATAGATCAAAAAATAGATCTGAATATGAAAAGAAGGCTAGTCAAAACAGCTGTTATACAGCTTGGCTTGTTGGACAAGGGAGGGAGAGGTGTTACTTCATTGTTTCTTAGTTTCATTTAATTTTAAATACAATTTGTTAAGTGGGTAATTTTGGTGCTCTTCCAAGAAAGACGAGGAAACAGGCTTCTAAAATTAAATTGAACTCTTCAAGAGGAGAAAAATGTAGCAATTAGTCTGTAAGACTACACAAGTTTCTTGATTATTATTCTGTAAAAGCCACCCTGCTATACTAGATTTCCAAGCTAACATGTTTTTGCAACTAGGATGAAAAGGTTGCCTAGGAAGTTATTTGCTGCAAGGCACTAAATATGGTCAGAAACCAGGGTTCTGTGCAGACATTCACAACGTTTTCCAGTTCCCCTTCTTTCTTTCCCTTCCCAGATTTTCACTATTCCAAGTTAACAAAACAAGTTAATTGGGTTAAAACAACCAAAGAGAGCACTCTGATGGTAATACACCTTCTTGGTTTATCTTTCCTTTCTTATACTTACATACTGAGATGCCTTTCGATCTGGTGACTTGTCCTCCATCGCTCCTACAGCAGCTGAAGTGCCTCTGTCACCATTGTTCAAACTATTCTTCTCAGTAGCTCTCATTTCCACCTCACCAGGGAGCTTGACATCTCCTACACCAAGCGCCTCGTTTTTGTACTTCTTCACAAATTGTTCCATCTGCTTAACTTCATTGGGGGAGAGCTCGTGGCATTTTGAAGGATCCTGATCATGAGCAGGCAGCTGCTTAGCCAACTGCTTCTTCCTGTACTGTGCGCCTTCCGAGCCAGCAACAGGCTGCTTCTCCTTTGGTAGCATCTGCATATACTGTCTAGCCTGAACCAAGAAGAATTAGATATCAGATGCCACTTCAAATATAGACCCATCCCTTTAAGCAAACACACAACTAAAATCATCTCTACTGTTGTTAGCGACAGTCTAATTTTGTCAGAAACAAGGTTCTTGCCATAAACATTGAGCTTCCGAGACACAGTAGATGGAGATAAAATACAACAGATGCATTAATTAGCTTCTTCCCAGAGTAAGAGACAGGTTTCTTTTTAAGCCTTTTACAACATGCAGAATTAGAGTTATTACCTCTCAGAGTAAATAACATTTACACAGCACCTTGTCCCTTCAAAGCTATCTAAAAACTACTGACCATCAGTACAGCTTTAAAAAGAAGTAGCTGAAATAGTCTGCCTGGGACACACAGCCCAGTGCAGAAATAATTTCAGGTAAATAAAGGTAAAAAGCTCTAGTTTTAATGAAGCAAGGGCAAGCCTAAAAATCAAAGTGATAACTAAATGTTAAGTAACAGTGGACTTAGATGCAAAAGGTTTTGATTAATTCACTGAAAAAGGATATTTTGAGAAGTAGGTCAGAGATAACATAATTCTAGCATGGATCACACAACACTGAAGTACAGAAAATTATCAATCAAAGTTTGAAAAGTGAAGCAAAATCCTCAGAAGGCTATCTACCATCTCATCTACTTTAGCTGAAAACATACGGGAAGGCAGTTTCTCTTTTAGATGTCAACACTGACCTTGTTCTTACCATATACAGTAAAAGCTATATGCGAGACTGTTTAAAGTTAAGGCGAACGCTCAATGACATAAATTGTTGTGGGGTTGTTCGGTGGGGGTTTTTTGTTTGTTTGTTTTTTGGTTTTCTTTTAAGCCCACACTCCATGCAAATTTTTGGAGTTCACTAATTCTCCAGAGACTTAGCAGATAATGATTAATCCTATGTATTAAAACCCACTTCATCTCCCCAGTTCAAGAAATACCGTAGACAAGCATCTGTATCTGCAAGATGACAGAGGCAAAACTCATTAAACAGACATCATATTTTCAGTTCTGAGGAGAAAGAAAAGATGACCACAGGAAGCAAATTTATCCTTCCAGTAAAGCTCTACTTCTTTATCTCCCATCAACTCCTGCCTTGAACATGAAGAAAATCTGAGTTGGACTTACAAGTGTCTGATTCTGAACAGGAGGAGCCCACTCATATGTCACAGTATTGATGGATATGTTCTTCTTGGCTGGCACTGGATTCGTCAGTATCATTACATTGCGTTTATACATGGGAATGCCATCATTCTTCAACTTTGCAATAAGGGTTGTGTATTTTGTATCTTCAAAGAGTTTCCCCACCTTCCGATCTTCCTCATTGCTTGTGAGGACATCATGCTCTTCCTGGCCACATTTGCAGTTGCGGCATATTTTTCTGAGATTTATGGGAACAATGACAAAGTTACAGCTGAAAATTACATCTCACACCAGCTGTGTGCATTGTAATAACATCACTGGGAATGCAAACCCATGTTTTCAGTGCTTTGATTAGGGAATATACAAGTTATCCTGCAATATGTCAAACACCTCTTGAGAATATTCTTTATTTCTCCTGTTGTATTATTTACATTCTTTGTTCACCGAGTTTGTGGTCAGATAGATGGCAGTCACCTAAACTAATGCATTTTGAATATGATGCTGTATCACTCCTTTGGTTACATCTCAGTACTGATCACACACATACATGTCCATTATCACCCAAACTACCAGATTTATTATGGGTAGTCACCCATAAGTTAATTTACATGCATCAACATTGTGCATTTACTTGGGCTTTTGTTTTTTCAGGTTCTCTTTATACACTCAAAATTACACACACTATTTTTTCTTCATATGGATTTGTGTATCCACAATATTTGCTTATCACAGCGTTGCTATCAAGTGGAAACAAGTATTTCCTAGAAAGGAAAAAAAAAAAACAAAACACACACACAGCCATATATACAGTGTAACTGCACCAAGTTCTGTTCAAAGTTCAGCATTTAAAAGAAGATGAAAGAAAAGTAAAAGGCTTATATGGACAAAGCCTTCCAAACAGCTCTGAATCAAGTCAGATGTACTCTGGCACATGCTGTACAGAAAATTTTCACAGATAACATCCTTAAAAGGTAGAAGGCTTTACTTAGATATAAATGGTATTTCTTCATATCCAACACATTTGAACTCATTTGATTAAGGGATATTAGATAGCAATTTATTACCTTAAGCATAATTAAACAATTCACATATAATAAGCAGAACCTTGGATTAGACAAGCTGCTTTGCTATTTTATTAATCACTTTCCCAGAGCTTCAGTTCAAAGGAGTCTGCGACAGTATATGAAAACTGGCAAAGCTGGATGTTAACTAAAGGTTATTATAGCCCAAGAAAACAGATCAACCTTCTGGATCTCTGGAGTTTGAAGAGGAATGAGTAATATTTTACCCCATTATTTATTCTTCATATAGCAAAGAGCATAAAACTACTACCTATAAAACACTTCTCAACCCTGCTTGTCAAAGCCCACTGACCTGTTCTACATCTTGCTTTCTAAAGTCTTGAAGGCAATGGTATTTAACAGATACACAAGGACATGTCATGACTACAGCAGGCCAGGTGATGGGAAAGGAAGAAAGAAGGAAGACCTGCACATAACTGGTCATGTGAAGTCATGCATAGCCAGCTCCAACGATATACACTACATGTGCACACCAGTTTATGATGTGGGGTACTATCATTTCAGTGTGTGATGTATGATGCCCTGGTCATATGATTATACAGTGACTGTAAGTTATGGTAACCTAAGTCATGAAGCCCACTCCAAATAAAAAGAGCTAACTCTGTAACACAAATGAACCGCTCCACTCTAAAAATAATGAGCAAAATAAGAATGTTAATTAGAACAGACTCTGCTTTGCAATGCAAAAATCTAAAGAGATCAGTAATTGAAGTGTAGGCTGTCTGACAGCTTGCATGACTTCCAACTCATTTCCACAACAGGAAAAATGGACAGAATTTCAAAGCTGATACTTATCTGAATACCGAAACACTAAGCACTTTGCAATCTCCCAGTTTACCAAAACATTCAAGCCTGAACTAGCATTGCCCATTAAGCCTAAATGCTGTACTATGCATCTCAAGCTCTCACAACAATATTCTGCAAGATCTTCAGCGTCAGTCTATGAGTCCTTTACCTAGCTAATTATTTAGAGACTATTTATATACTAATATACTAATAAAAGCAATTTATATTCACTTTGCTCACTTTTTAAGGCATGCATGTGTTTGTACTTTATTGCCAACTCTCAAATCATGTCTTCCTTGAGATCTAATATGGGGTCATGGAATTAGATCTCACTTTTTGTATGTTTAGTTCATTATTACATCATCATTATCATCATGCAGCTATATGCCTCAAAGCAAACCATGAACTTGAATTCAAGCAGTTCGTCCATTTGAACAACAGTTTACCAGGTATTAATTTCACTTTTTCAACATATTAGCAAAAAGCTCCAGTTTTAGTCTTGCCTCTTGACAATATGTGTTCTAATTATGTTGGTGAATGAACAGACATTCTCAAGTAACCTGAACAAACTCATGCGAGTAAAGTATAGTCTTGATGTCCAGAACTGCTCTGCTTGCAAAGCAGAACTCAGTAAGAACAATTCATGCTGTTGTAGCACCTGTGTCACAAACTGTCACAACAGCAGTGTGACAGTTTGTGCAGCTCTCCTCATTCTGTACAACATTCCATTTTCTCCCCACTCTTCACAACTACAGTGAAGCAGCCTGCAAAGACCAGACCATCCCCAACAAACTGTAGGGGAATTCTTCCCCTGAGACTTTCACAAGCACAAGATAAGCCACGAAGGCATCTTATTTTTGCTCATGTTACATTATGAAATTACACGTCTGTTTTTTAGTATTATTCTCTCAGAATCCAGAACGGCTTTAAGATCATGTTTCTGTTTCCATCTACAACACCCCTGACTCAATTGCTTTTATCCTCCTCAGTCCCACCTTGAGGGCTTAACAAGTTTCACTAATTTCAGTATCTGTGAGAGATTTTCTGTTGTCCTGATAAACAGATAGTTGCAAAGAAATGAAAGCATACTACTTGTCCTCAAGGTCCTCAGGTCCTTCCTGGGTCCCACTGCGAAAACCAGCATAGAACTACTGTGTCTTATACTTGCATTGAACAAGAATGAGATACTCACGAATCTCCCCCCACCCCAGACTTAAAGAATTTGACTGTATACATTTCAGTCTAACATTATCTCCTTGTTCTTTCAAGATTAAGTGAATAGCTCTTTGCCTACACAAAGTTTGCAAGAAGCTGTTACAGGGTCTATGTTGCAAACTTACAGATGTAGCTGCCCTGACGTTAGAGTTGTGGATAATTAAGACTCCAAATGCAGGAGAAAGCAATACAGAGAGAGAATGTGAAAAATGCTGAGTCACAACCCATGTCATCCGATCTCAGTAAACAGAAGAAAAATCCCCCAGGCTGTTGCCATTTCCCCTGCTCCCTAAGGCTCCCCTGGATCCCAGCCACATGAAGATGTCTGTACACTAACAGCCAAAAAAAGGTTTCCTGTCCCGATTTATGATCCATTTTCTTGAATAATTTCCAGCCCTAAAAGATAGCCAGTTGACATTTACACACACACACACCTCTTCCTGCATAGTACTGTTTACAATTTAGTCATACCTTCCTTCACTAAGTTGTCACATCAGTCCTGTCCTTTAGTCACTGTCCCTTCTCCTGAAGGGATATGGTCAATTACTTCTACTTTGAATAGGTTGGCTCCTCATTTGTTTGACTACAATGCAGCTATCTTACTGAAGCAACCCTGTTCCATTACTTCAAACTTATACTTCACAAGTCTGTCTGATAGCTGATACCTCATTTTTATTTTTGGTGTTAAAGCAAACACATGTGCCAGGAAAACCAGTCGCTATTATTTATACAAACACACACACAGATATTATATATATATATATATATATATATATATATATATATATATATATATATACATATATACACACACACACACACACACACACACACACACACAAGTATATGCACAAACTTAACTTTATACCCTTTGACTCTATCAAGACAACGGGCAGTGAGAATTTCTTGTTCTATCTGCATTGTTAAAAAGATTCTCCCTTCATTTGAGGGCATTCAGCAAGTTCTCTACTGAAGGGGGGGTATTAGAGACCCCTGGTTATATGTTCACAGATCTCAGGATTTCAGCAATGGAGGGCAATGTTCTTCCAGTCAAAATTCAGCAATTTTGGAATCTTTTCCCATGCAAACAGGGAAGATAAGGAGGAAACTGCAAAATTTGTGGAATTAAAAGTTGCACATTGCTGTAAAAGTCAGATCTAGTAGAGTGTGCCTTGCTTCTCGGGTAGGTAGAATGAAGGAGGAAGGTAAACAGATCCCACGCTCTCTTTCAAGCTGGTGAATTCCTGTGTCCTGGATGTCTAACAGCAAAGATCAAAGACTTCCACAGTTCCTTCTCCAAAAACAAATGTCAACCATCCTCCTACTTTTCCATGTTTTGGTGTAGGTGTATGGAGAGGAAAAATGAAGTCGGATCATTACCCTTCCTACACTGGCTTTGCAGTGGCTCCTAGTGACAGGAGGCAGCAGTTGCAAGCACACAGCCGCTCTCAACAAATACCTGTTAAGTCCTGAGGCTTGTGTCCTCCACACGGGAAAACTACAGCTTGCTACAATTCCTTCTGTTATATTTCTTGCTATTAATGCAGCTATAGTAACTGCAAATATTTTGAACTGTGTCTCAGTACTTGCCTGTCAGCTGTAGTATCAGAAAATGTTAAAGCCAACTTAAAGCTCTCCCTGCCTCCCAGGGATTGTGTGCAGAGAAGCCAGATGCTGAAAGAGGTCATTTCCAAGCTTAAGATTCTTGTCTCCAGAAGCTTTTTAATACCTTGGCAAGCTGCACTGGAGACAATTATCACTTTCTGGTATATACATGACCAAGATAAATCAGAACCTTCCCTCCTGCTGTTAGCATCTTCCGACTCCTGTCCCACACTTCCCTCTAGTGGGAAACATATTCCCAAAGAGCAAATGTGTATGGGAGCAGCAAACATCTCTGACAGCCAACCTGGCCTCCTAATCTCGTGGGGGCCATTCTGCAGCCTGGAAGAAGTCTAACACCTGAACTGAGAAGACCCTGCCCACTGCTGCTGCTACACTTGGAGAGAAGCATGAATCTGAGGACAATTTTAAAAGCAAAAAGCTATTAACACACCAAAATAAAGCAGGTAATTGGTCACTGTTCAGCTTCCATTGTAGACTGTGGCTCATATTTATTTTGTGTTCAGCTCACAACACCGAGGCTTTCAGAACTTCAAAATTCAGGAACAAATTTTACTAAGGGCTTTGTTTACCACCATTTCTATACTAGCCTAAATTAACAGTTCTGCACCAATATAACCATCACACACACTGTGCCAAGAATTATAGCATGAAGTACTTAAAGATCACTTGCCACCCTAGAAGGGGCATTTTCCAAATGCTCCCAGTATAGAGAAGAAATGTGTAGCAACCGTGTAAAAAACAGCTACTATATAGATATAATTGGGTTTGGGGGGTTTTTTTGTGCACTTTCCAATCTGAGTCCCTAAAGGCAGAATTCCGGCTTTTTTGTACAGAAATACAGAAAGAAACGACATGTTAGGCCTTTGAGGTACACTGGAGTTTTCATGTATCAGATGAAGAATTACGTGCTCTGCCCAAGCTCCTCAGCTCCCCCCAGGAGAGGGCAGCGTCACCCTCACACAGGCCACAGCAAGGGCTGCAGCCTGCAAACACAACCGCTGCCTCGCTCACCCTGCCGGGTCCCGGCTCCTGTACGGTGCTGCACCGCGGGTCTGTGGCTGAAACCGTCTTGGTAGCACTTGCTATTGCTGAGCGCTTCTGACAGCGTCAAGGCTTCCCCTTTCTTGGACTCTGCCCCCACCTCGGCAAGTAAGCTGGGGGTGGGCATGAAGCTGGGAGGGGGGCACAGCTGTCTCAAATTGGCCAGAGGGGTACTCCATACTATATAATGTCACGCTCAGGAATAAGACTGGGTATAGGATGAAGGAAGCAGGGTTTCCGACTTCCAAAGTAGACACTGCTTGAAGACTGGCTGGGCATTGGTCTGCTGGTGGGAGGTGGCAAGTGACCACCTTTGCATCCCTTGCTCCCCCACCCCTTCCACCTGTACCTTCCTTCATCTATTAAACTGACTTTATTTCAACCGACGAGTTTTTGTCACATTTGTTCTTCCTCTTCACTCTCCCACCCTGCTGTGTGGGTGCTTGGCTGCTGGCTGGGGTCAACCCACCACAGTTACTCTTCCCTGGAACATGTAACAGTTTCTCTAACTACAATCCCTACATCAACACTTGTCTTTTACAGATGAGCAATAGTGAAATCAGTGATTGAAGTTGAATTGATTTTGATCATTCATGTTATAAAGACAATATTCTGTCCACTTGTGCTACAGTTTGCTTCTACTTAAAATCCTTTCAGATTTTAGGGCTAACATAACTAAGTGAACAGGTATTTGGGATCTATTCCTTTCTGTTCAAGTTGCGGAATCCAAAAATCTCTGCATCATGCAAAGTACATTAATATATTTTTTTCCTTTGAAAACTGTTTACACAACACTGATTTCAGACTTCAGATTCACACCCTTACAGTCCCCCATAGCAGCTCTGCTGGAGAAAGAGCTATTTTCTAACCCATTCCCAAATTGCCTCAATGACTAATTTTTCAACCATTTCAGAGGTGTGTGCCATATTTGTCTGACACCTAAATGATGCTTCTCAGACTACTTCCAGCCACCTTATTTACCTGGTCTATCCTATATAAGATTCAGTTTCCAAATTAAATCTTAATCTTAACTAAACAGTCACCGGTTTTATGTGTTTTTCTTACTTGCTCTTTAATCCACTGCTGTCTACAAGCTCTTGCTTTCTAGGAGAGACAGGGCTCTGACAAGCTATATATTCAGGACCTGTCACAACAAGCCCTAACCACGGGAGCATAGTGAAATGTGTATAAAGACAGACACACAAAAACCCCCTCCAGATACACACACAGAAGCAGACACATTCTAACCTGGTAATCATGCTATTATGTGACTAAATCACTTCAGACATTTTCTTTCTTTTTATCCCAAAATTCTTTCCCGTTAAAGAAGAAACTAGGAATTACAAGGTCTAACAATGGGAACTAAAAAGAGGACAAAAAGGAAGAGTTGAGAAAAAGTTAGCTAATTTTTTTTTCTCACCCACTTGTGATTTCGCCACCTATCACACTGCCTATGAACAAAGAGCTTTCACGTAGGAAGTGACATAATTTCTCATCTAACTATGGATAAACAACACTATCTACTCCTACTTTTTTTTTTCCATTTTATTGAATTACCTACATACATTAACTGTGTTCCATTTTACTTTACTAGTACCTCTACACAAGTCCCCTCAGTGACTGTGTACTGAAAAAGTCTTTCCATAAATTAACCCTTTCTTTTATCTCTGGATGATCATGTTTGTTTATTAGTGTATTACCACTTCTTGCTCCATGTCATTTTTTGTAAGTTGCTTCTATAGCTAGATATTATAAATACGTAACCAAGAAGCTGTATCCTCATCAGCCTATAGCAAGTTTTTGCTGTGGTCTGTTTGGTTATTTTCTGAACCGAGTCCCAGATGCAGTCAAATACTTGGACAAAGACGTAAAGGCCAGTAGGCCTTATCTGTACCTGATGTCACTATGGCTGGGATGTAAAGACTACCTTGAAGAAACCCCATAAAATAAAACCTCACTGCAGATACAGTTATGAACAGCTAAACATCACTGGTGAAATGTAATAGTTTTCATTGTTAGCGTATGCTAGTAACAATTATTTTTATATTGTTTCCATGCTGTTTGCTTTGAAAAAGATTTTATTTTTTTTTAAATCAGAATCACTAAGCTACATCTTAAAGCACACCCAGTATAATTAGTGAACCGGGCTAGCTAGGTATATACATTAATATACATATATACACCTTGTTTCAGTAAATGAAGAAAGGTTTTAATGGAATACAAAGTTTCTGCAGAAGTAATGGTATAGACACAGCATAGACTATTTACTGCTACTATCATCAACTCTTACCGGTTTAGGAACAGTGCATCATCTAAGGCCAAGTACTAATTTATTTGAATTATGATATTATCTTCCCACTCTAAGTCATTTGTAGATGTATACAAAGTTCCAACATCTTTTCAACATAGATAATATAATTTTACCTAAAATCTTGGATCAAAGCTTACATATTTGGTCTGGAGTAGAGAAAACATTTTATTACAGAGATAAGGCATACTTCCTCCCTGTCATCTCTCTCAGTGTAGGGACAGAGATGATTTTACAAACCTATTTCAACCATTTGTTAAGCTAAAGCAAATGCTTTAGTAGAAGTACTACCATTGACTTCAGTGAAGACAAAATGTATGTTCGTAAAGGAGTACATACTTAAATACTCTTGTAAACCAGTTGAGACGCCCTGGCCCTGAACCTAGACACAGCTTCTTTAAAGCATCTGAATAGCTTGATTTAAACAGAACAAAAGCAGTTACTTACACATTTGCATACATGTGCCAAGATCTGCAGTGCTGAGTCACAGCTTAAGAGACATCCAGTGTCACTTACCTCCAGAAATGAAGCTCAAATCCTTCACACTTATCCTTGCATTTTAAGCAGGGGGCACCAAATCCTTGCTCATGGCCTAAGCCCATCTGTGTACAGAACAAGATAACTACAGTCAGCTTCAAGAAATACACAGCACGAATGACCTTACTGCTGCCTTTATCATCTGCAATCCACGACTAAAGCGAAAGATTAAGCATTTGACTACAGTGACATCAGAACAGTATTTTGGGGTCCACCCACCTTTCTACTGTTCCTAAGTGACAGTGTTTACACAAGCCTGTTCATAAGACTGAGCTAGCAGGCAGAAAGTTAGCCTTAGCCAAAGGCAAGTATTTTTCTGGTGGCTTTTCTCCCCAGCCCAGCTTGCTCTGAAAGCTTCACACAAGGGAAGAAGATTCTTTGCAACCCTTCCTTAGGTCTGTGGCTGTGAAACCACAGCGAGCAAGGCTATAAAGACCTAAAGTAAAAGGACATTTAACCCAGCTGTCAGGACAAAGTGATTTGCAGTATACAACTTGGTAAAATATAGAAGATCAAGAAATAAACAGATCCCACACTTACATGCTCTAACCTGGGCATCTGATAGATGTTTTCTTTATTCCTAAATGCCTAGTCGCATATTCCCAAGTATATTTGAGACTGCTCTTATAGTGATTGAGAGCAGAACACACCCTTTGCTGGACTTACAGCAGCTTACTTTCCGAGAAGGAATTAAAACAGTACAGTTAGAAAAAGCAGTGATTATAAATGATACGCTAAGGGTTTCACTAAAAAGATTAAAAGGACAGACAACCAATTCATAATGCAGAGGAAATATGAAAGAATATAAAAAAACCCAGCACAGAGTAAAGGCTAGGTATTCACACAATATCAACTAAAGAGCAAATTTAACTGAGTCACAGCCACTGGAAGTTTGAGGTGAATAAGGGAGACCAAGCACCATAACATAAGCATTCATATAACACAGCAAATTTGAAATGCTTCACTCCAGATCTCTAAACCTTTGGGGAACGTTGCTCTTAAATCAGACAGATGAAGGACCATGGAACTGCGGCCACAGTTGGCTGTGCAGGCTCATGCCCAAGATGCAGAGGGGAACCCATCCCCGCATTACCACCCACTGCTCCAGCAGCACGAGGAGCAGTCCCAGTTAGCTGTGCGTAGAGGCAGTGGGAGCCATGGTCATCAGGAGGGAGACAGCTCACCTGTAGGTTGTTTTTTACCATGAATGGTAAGTGAGCTAGAGCTGACAAGTTCTGGTACTAATCTTAGCTCTGGAAACAATAATACAATGCCAGGTTTAATTAGCTGCAGCAATACAGTTTTATTATTAACAAGTTTGCAATTTACTGAGAAGTCATATTACTGTTGTACATGCAAGGACATAAACAGTTCAACTTTCAACTTGTTTCTGTCCAAAATGAAGGAACACATTATTCACAATCTACTTGCTGAACACAGAACACACAAGGTGTAGGGGAGATGAAGTTTTCAGCTATTTTATAATTTGAAGGATCACTGCCTCCACAGTCATTAGACATCCCTGAGGAAATTACAGTTTCCCTGCAGATTATGGTCTATTTAGAGAGAAGAGATACTTTGGCTGCTATTAAACTGCTGCTTACAACTGCACAGATGGACATGGAAGTATTTCTTCCTTTCTTATCTGCAAGAAGAAATACAAGCCTGTTGTGATCTTGGTGACATCTTTATCAGCCTAACGACTCAAGTTCACATGCTATAGGCACTACCCTGAAGCCAGACTAATAGACACCTAAATAACTTCAAAGATTAAGCTTTCTTTCATCAACTAGATTTTTGTTTATGTTTAATATATAAATCTAATGGGTTAATAAAAGTTAACCTCCACTGAAGACAGGTGTTTACAAGGGTCTTCTCATTTGGAATCCAGAGCCCCACCATACACACACCGCACATCAGAAACCAACTGAGGACTCTTGTCAAATCACACATGAAGAGAACAAAATGTTGTCCAGGATGTTCTCTAAAGAGAAAGAGGAAGCTAATGCAATACAAAACAATTGTGCTTTTTTTTTTTTTTTTTTCCAGGACAGGTTGGTTTCTGTTTGTGTTCCCCCCCCCCCCCCCCCCCCCCCGTGTTGGTTTTTAAAGTCATCCTCCCTAAAAAGCTGTTACAACTGAAAATGTGCTTGCACTGCCCTAAATGAACAAAAACCACCACCACCAAAAAAAAAGCAAAGCCAACATTAACACATTCTCACTGCTACTTCAGCTACAAACTGGTATTACTTCACATGCCTGGACTCTCCCCTCCTTTAAAAAGAGGGGAAGAGGAAGAAAGAGGAATAACTATAGTTTTATCAGTGTTGCAGTTAGAAGGTTTAGAAACCTAGAATCACTTGTGTATAGAGCACTATTGTACAGTACACAGAGAAACTGCCTTAACATTTCACTAGTTCCTGAAACAGAATCTCAAATGCAAGTATGAAAATGGTTCTTGCAATTTTTTAATATAATTTCCAAGCCTCCTAACATTTAAGCGTTTAAGCTAAAATTACCTTTCCAGAAGCAAATTAAGAGGAGGAAGTATATGCTGTCTAAATGCCCCACCCAAAACATACTCCCTCTCCAGACTAAACAGACAACAACCAGTCAGCCTACTCCCATCTTCACAACTAGTGGTCTCAGCACAGAGTGCTTCAGAAATACAGGATTCCACATGCCCTCCCCAGTAATAATGAGTATAACATTACGTAAATGCTTATGCAGCTTGAGACAAATAAACTGAATTAGCTTATAGGATAGACTTGGTTTTCAAATGTATTTCTCAGTTCGCTGTGAAACAGGAGGAAGAGAATGACATTTCTATACACAAAGTCTGGTCATTATGGTGACCATAGGTTTAGCTCGAAACTAAAGGGCACAGGGAGAACTAAATGAGACATGATTTCAGGTGCCTTTGTTCTAACAGAGAAACTGTGTGGCTGGTTGCCAAACATAAAGATATAAAATAACAATAGCACACAGTGCTTTTGAGTTTGACTATCTAAAAGTCAGTGAACATTGAATATTTCTCCATAGTCCTGTAACACCTCCTTCCGTGGTAAGGAAGCAGCTGCCTCAGAAGTGACTCCAGCAGCTGATTCTGCTCTAATTTGGGCAATTCAGAGAGCCTAAAGCTTCAGTGTGCTCCTTCACTGCTGCTGCCTACATCTATTCCCCATGCCTTCGGAAGGACATGGCCAGCCCGTGCTGGAGCAACGAGATGCAGAGCAGGCTGAGCACACACTGGAGCGGGAATGTATGCCTGAGAACAGGAGGGAATCCATCTTCCCCATAAATGGAGTTATGGGAGAAATGGCACAGATAGGTCAGCTGAAATACTGCCAGAAGAAGGTTCCTGCCTGTCTATTCCCATTAATTTTCGTTTTACAGCAAAAGCTATCCAAAACCATCTGGTATTACTAACATACCCAATACAGATTTAAATAGTCTGAGTACAGAAGATGATATAAATATTATTGAGATCTACTGCATGCTGCTTTCAATATTAAATAGTCCTCAAGGGCAAAGAATTTTAAATGGTTACAGCTAAGTTAAAATTAGTGAAAGACTGCCCTGTTTCCATTCAGACTGGAATCCGGTGTCAAAAGTTGGCTGTCTTTACATGAAGGAACCATGCATAGAAGCCGTCATCTTAAAAACCCAAATGGTCCCATTCAAGTGTCTAATACTTTGTTCACATGTGTAAGAGAAACACAGCAGTTGTTATAAAATAGTTTAAGCCTGGCTTATCAGAAGAGTTTATTATTAAGTTTACTGAACATGACCAAGGAGAGAAGCCCCAAAAAATCCTATTTTCCCCTCCTACTAATTTAAACCTGACAGTAAATGCTGAAGTCCTGCTTCAGTGCAATTTTAAAATAATAATTTCAGAATTTTTATTCCTGTAAATACAGGAGATTTCAGAGACCATCAGACAAGACAAGACATCTCCCCACATGGGATGGTATGAAAAAAATAAACCAAGGATGCAAATAGATTCTGAATGTAGAGATAGATGGCCAATATGAATGCAACTGTATTTTGTCAGCTATTGTTTCTCTTATGTGGTAAAATATGGATAAATTTGTTCCTATGTCGAACAAACTGTGCCACAGCTCACAGTACTGGTAAAAAAAAAAAGTAGTTAATAGTTAAAAAAGTACAATGTCACAGAACTGAAGATTATTATTGACAGTTACAGGAAAAACAAAGATAAGCCCTAAGGAACCTTAGATGAATTAAAACATAAGTCAGAGCAGAAGTTTTTAAAGCTTGCCTGTACTTGCTTTTAATAAGCATAGATTATTTTCAGTTGAAAGGGCTCTCTGTAGGTCACTCAATTGCCCACAAAGAGCTAGTACAACAAAATCCTATTTGCCCAGGGCGTTGTCCAGATACAGATTCAACAGCCCGTTACAACATTGGACCACACATAGGAAAGCAAACCTGCATGTTTAGTTAGAATTTCTCACATTGCAACTTCTGCCCACTCTCTCTCAATATTATCACTGTACAGTGACTAGAATCCAATTCTGTCTTTTCTATTCCCTTCCACTAAGCAGCAGGGCACAAACAATAGAGTATCCTGACAGAGTTCCTCTGGAAGCCTTTAATTATTTTAATAGATATCATTTAACAGTCATCACACCCAGCACAAATATAGCCCTCAAAAGCTGGTTGCTCTGACCATCCTGCCCCTTTACAAAGGAGGCCCTGGGGTGCAGCGATAAGAAAACAAAAGAGTAAACAAAATGCAGAATCCACACTTCTAGGTCTCCCTTGCACAAGATTTCTCTTACCTCCTCAGTTTCACCAAAAGACCACAGCTAAGTCAGGTTTTGGCTGATTTTCCTTCCTCCCTGTTGAGGACGCTCCTGTACCACCAGACAGGTGAGCTGTATTAACCTTTCACATTGACACAGACAGTGAGACAATACCAGAGTACTTAGCCTCTGCAGAAGATCAGAGGCCCTTCTTCCACTGTTTGAGACCTCTCCAGAATTTGAAAGGATGTGGCCATACAGTGAGAAAGTTGTCATTAGTGGACTGTGACAATTAA